AAAGTATTTGAGCTGCATCTATTCCATAAGAAGAGCAAAGAGGTCCACAGTTGAATTCAAACTCCCCATTCAATATTTTCCCTTAATAGGAAGCTGTTCTTGCCAATTTAATGTCAAACTGATTGGTAGGAGGAAGGCTTTGGGGATGTTGAGGGAGCTAGGGAGAATGTGGCTTTGATTGCCATTCTTTTTGGGGGAGAAAAGAGATATTTAAGGTGACCATGCCCCCTACATCAGGGAGAATAGTCATCTGTCCAAGGACAATCCTGGTTCTGGGGAGCTGCCTGGTCGAGATAAAAAACTATCAGTAGGGAGAGTAGGGGGAGCCTTGAAGCTACCCACCAACAGGGAGCATCTAGACACCAGACTAAGTAGGGGCACAGGGCACAAGGGCACAACCTTCCTCACTGTGGTGGGATGTATTGCATTTCTTTTTAAATCACAGTAGTCATTTCTAGTTTTGCACCTAGACAATAAATTAGCTTATTCAAATTTCATGCAAATTGCTGCCATCTGCACAAAAGACAGCTCTGTGAAATATTGGGGGGCGGGGGCACATCCTACATAGCACTTGAAAATAAGATATGGATGGTGCAAATCCCAGCTGCAAAGAATGCCATGGTCGTTTCTCTGCCATCTGTGTCATCACTTGACCTATTTCTCTGTTGGTAACGGAAGCAGCTTTCTTTCAGAAAAATCAAAATGGTAAGCATTTTGCACCTTTATAAGAAATATGGTAGAGCAAATGCTTGCAATTACATCCTGTCAACTCATAGGGCTGCCAGCGTCCTGTGGGTGAAAGCTGGGGTGAGTCAGGTTCAGGAGGTGGAGCCTGATGGGTGTTTTGCCCAAATTACTGCTCAAGAGAATGTTTTAAAACTGTTTTTAGAATGTTTGTGACTGTTAGAATGCTTTCTAAAATGTGCTCTTTATTACTGGTGTATTTGCTGACCTAGGCTCCCTCAGGAAGAAGTATAATTTAAATGGATATATAATACCTCGCATCTCAGTATGGAAGAGTCTGACTAGGTGATCTGTGTGCCTCGTCTGTCTAGGTCAAGGGTAGGCAACCTAAGGCCCAGGGGCCAGATGCGGCCCAATTGCCTTCTGGCCCACGGATGGTCCGGAAATCAGCATGTTTTTACATAAGTAGAATGTGTCCTTTTATTTAAAATGCATCTCTGGGTTATTTGTGGGGCAAAGAAATTCGTTCATTAAAAAAAAAAAGTCCTGACCACCACATGGTCTGAGGGACAGTGGACCGGCCCCCTGCTGAAAAAGTTTGCTGACCCCTGGTCTAGGTGCTATCTGCTAATGAGAATCTTCATGGGGTCCACTGGTCTCCATTCTGGAGGTACCTACTTTTGTTCTAAGTCTGACTGGGGAATTTACTTTGATATTACAGCATGAGAAAGATGCTGGGGTTGAAGAATATATGCTTGCTTTGGTTTGTCATCCAAACTGGAAAGTGGCACTTCCACACCATTTGTCTTTGGCTGAAATGAAATTCAGGCAGATTGCTCCAGTTGAGAAGGGCATCCAATATGGAACAACTACCACGGCAAATTCCCTCCCAATAACAGCAGGCACAATTTGAAAATTAGGGAATTAATGAGATTTAAGAGAGATTAAGTGAACAGGGAGTTCAAGCAGAAGCATTCAATTGATGTAATTGAGTGGAATAATTTGTCATGGCCAGAGCAACTGATTGTTGCACACACAAATTTCAGAAGTAACCGGGCAGTTTAAATTGGCATTTGAAAGAAGACCAACAAGAGGCAGCAATGGAGATGGGACACTGTCTTCTGCAAAACTAGAGTGAAAAGTTGGGGCAAAGGGAACCACTTCCTGCCCAGCAGCAATGTCATAAGAATTCAGTGTGAGAATTTATGAAAACAAGTATTCCATTTGTAGTTTTCTGAAGGTAGATGGGAAAACAAGCTATGCATTTCAGTAATGTAACCAAGGTGGATCATTGGAACACCTGCTCTAGACATAGGAAGGTGGGTGTGTCACATGCCTTCAGATCACACAGGCATCACCCACACATCCCACACCTCCAAAAAGACAGGTGAAAAAACAGGATCTTGCTCAGTGGTTTACCAAGGGAAGCTGCTCAGGCAGACTTGAACCATTCTCATTGGTCCTAAGTCTAACACAATAGGTTGGCTATGAAGAGCCAAGTGCAACATTTGAATACTTCTCACCAACAAGACACCCCAAACTGCATATGAACACATATGGTTTTATTAGCTTTATGCACATGCTTTAACAAGCTCAAAATGCTGTACAGTCTCTTCCAACTGCAAAAAAATGGTGTAACAGCAGCTTCTGGAAATGGAGTCCTCAGACTTGGTACAAGGCAGCTTCCTGCACATTCCTGTCTTTCAGGGCTCACTGATTGATTACACAAGGATCAATGAATAGGGAATTCAAGTGCCAGAGATCCCACCAAAACACACTGGGATCTTGGTGCTCGAAGCTCCACCAAAATCTGGAATTAGCTCCGTAATTAGCTACATTCAACATCAGACTGTGAGAGCAAACAAAAAACCATAAAAAACCCCAGATACATGCAGTATTGGGCAGCAACAGTGAAGGGGTTTTGCTGAACAGGAATCCTTATGAGTAGTGAGAACTTTTAATTTCAACATCAGCACCTTTGAAATATGGACATGCACCAGTGCTAGTTGTTATGGACTTGGTGGTCCTTTGGCCTTATGCAGCACAGCTCTTGCTATGTTCCTATGTTGATAAAATATTTGCAAATGGTAGGGGCATGGATTCCCAGGCTGCATTTTTATGGGAAAGGTGCCCTGATGAGCTCTACCTCTTTCAGAGAGGTTATCTAACTTAATTTTCTGCTCTGCTTCTACTAGCTGACTTTTGAGTTACCTTGCACTTTTGCACAGGTTATTTGCACAGATGGGCTGCAAATATATTGTATGATGTTCAGTTGATGTCTGGTTGTTTGATGTTCTGTTGATGTGTGTAGTGCCACTTTGGAATGTAAGATAAGGCAGGGTAAAAAAAAAAAAGTTCTAAAAAATCATTCTAGGCATCAGTTTTTCTGACCTCCTACATGTCATGCTCTTTCCCTTCAATTTCACCCCAAAAGATTCTTACCTGTAACTTTGAACTCAGTTGTTCGTCGTATCAGCTTTCCTTCAAATTTTAGCTCACAAGTATAATTCCCACCATCTTCTTCCTGAACATCTTGTATTAGTAGAGTGTTCTCTTTCTGAACTACTAGATTTCTCCACATTTTTGGCTTACACTCCTGCAAAAAACAAAACAAAAAACAAACAAACAGAGTCTTAACTTGGCATGGTAAAGTAATGTTGCATGAAATAGAGCGTCCAGATCAAGGAAAGTAATAGTGGGCACTCTATTCTGCCTTGCTCAGATCCCACCTAGTGCTTTGGGCACCATAGTTTAATAGCAAAAACCTGGAATATGTACAGAGGATGATGACCAAGATGATCAAGGGTCTGGAAACCAAGCCTTATGAGGAACAGTTGGGGGAGTTGGGTATGTTAAGCCTGAAAAATAGGAGACTGAGAGGAGATATGATAAATCATATTAAAATATCTGAAGGGCTGTCACATGGCAGCTTGCTTTTTGCTGCTCTATAGGGGAGGACTGAAACCAATGGCTTCAAGTTACAAGAAAGGAGATTCCAACTAAACAATAGGAAGAACTCTGTGACAGTAAGAATGGACGGAATAGGCAGAAGGTAGTGGAGTCTCCATCACTGAAGGTTTTTAAGCAGAGTTAGATGGCCAAGTGTCAGGGACTCTTTAGCTGTGATTCCTGCATTGCAGGAGGTTGGACTACATGACCCTTGAGATCCCTTCTAACTGCACAATTCTATTATTCTATTATTAAATATTGAATATATATATATATATATATATATATATATATATATATATTAATAATTCTATGATTCTAGAAGCATCTGGTTGTTCACTGTGAGAAGAGGATGCTGGACTAGTTGGGTCATTGACCTGATCCAGAAGGCTCTTAGGTTCATCCCCTAAACTGCCCTGACATTGGCAGGCCTTATGGGCACTTCTTCTTCTTTTTTGTATCTGTATAGGGTTCCATTCCCAGTCTCCCACATGTGTTGGCAAAGCACTTATAAGCGTGCCCTATCCTGTTATGCCCCATTATGCCCCGCCCCAGTTCCTCCCCTGCTTTGCCTCCATCTGGCTCCAAATGGACTCGCGCATTGGTGGCCGGACGTCAATTGGACACACCTAAAATGGTCGCCGCCTGTAGTTTATCAGCTTTTCAGACCCACAATCTGGTTACCTTTCAAAGCACTTAGTTTTATCATTTGGGCCCATCAATTATGGACCAGCTGGCAAACCCAACATCAAACTTTTTGAATAATTAGTATGTTTGTTATTGTAGCTACACCTTCTCTGCCTTGAAATTGCTAATACCTCTTTTATTCTTGTCTCACAAAAGTCACATTAACGACTCCCTGCCCTTCACCTGCCAGTCTGATAGGTTTTCTTTCAAATTTTCTTGTCTATCTTCAATAATAAGAGAAGAGCCGAAAGACAGATCACATATTGCTGCCTAAATTCCACCCCCACTTCCCATCTCTCATCCCCCCACTCCCACTCCCACCCCTCAGAGGAGAACAGCTTTTCTATTTAAGCCTTGCTCATTCAATTACATCTTGACTCCTGCACTCAATCCATGTTGTCACAACAATCCTTTAGGCCTAATGGCGCTACGGAAACAGTAACAAAGACCATAATTGTGCAAATCCTTAAGAGAGCCATTTCACGGGCAACATTTCCATAATAAAGAAAACTTACACTATGGTTAAATATAAGGGTTTTGATGGAAAGTATTCCGCCTGGAGCAAATGTTTGGATGTATAAACACAATCATGTGTTAAGTACTGTGGACTGGGCTTTCCTCCTTCTAGACTGATACTTCAAATGGCAGGAAGTCATATCTGCATAAGATGAATACAGATATTGGGGAAAGTCCATGGCTCAGTGGCAAAGCATTTGTTTTGAATGCAGAAGGTCCCAAGTTCAATCCTATGCATCTCTAAGTAGGGCTGGAAATGACCCCTGAAAGCCTAGAGAGCCATTGCCAGTCATTGTAGACCAGTGTTTCACTGTTTGGAACAAGACCCACCAGTGGGTCTTGAGCCATTTTCAGGTGGGTCTGCCCATGCCTAGTGTCTCTTCAGTTGCTTTCTCCACCAACAACAGAACCAGCAACTCCTTGCATGCTGAGCAAAGGTGGTCTGGAGATAGAGTGTTAGATATTCTTGTGTGAGAGAATCATTTGTTCCAGAAACAGAGAAGAACAGAGAAGTTTCAAGAAGCAACAGAAGGCTGAGAAGGTTTTGTCCATGCTAGGACGTTTTCTGTGGGAACTGTTCTTTGGAAATGCACAGTGCAACAGGAAGCACTGATAACAATGGTTCTGTGTAGCTTCTTGTGAGTCTCTTGCTTGCATCTTGCAGTGAGAGAAGCAGAGAGAGAGTCTTGGACTCTTGTTGGACTCTAAGTTTCTTCTTCTTCTTTGGTGATCATTCGTAGCCAAGTAAGATTGTCTTCCATAAACACAGTTTTAACAATGAGTCCGTAAGTGACTGTGGAGGCCAATTCTGGATCCACATGTCCATCCACAGTGTGGACATTGGTTTCCAGGTGGGAGTTGATCACGGTGTGGATTTGCCAAGCATGCCTTCCTCTTAGCATGTTTCTCCCTTGCGTCCTGAGTTCAAGTGTCTTCAAAGCCCATGACACCTTTGGTAAAGGCTGTTCTCCAACTGGAGCGCTCACAGGCCAGTGTTTTCCAGTTGTCAGTGTTATACTACATTTTTTTAGATTTGCCTTGAGACAGTCTCTAAGCATGGCAGTGACGAATGCCTGTATATATTTCCTACCAATATGCTTTTCTGCCTGTCAAGTAAACCTCTACTGAATCTTTATGGCACCCATGAATGTTTAGCGCCTACTGTGTGTACCTTCAATCCCAAAGATGCTTCCAAAGAAGGAGCTGCGTTGAGTTGTAACTCTGCTGAGTATGGATACTGGCACACACTGTACAGAAAAAGTGATGCTGGACCTGATCCTACTAAATCATTCATCAGAGGTTGATGGATTGATCCAACATACAGATCTTAGAATCAGAGAATTGTAGAGTTGGAATCTAGTCCATCCCCCTGCAATGCAGGAATCTCAATGAAATCATCCATAGCAGATAGTCATCCAATTTCAGAAGGTCTCCTTTCTCTGAGAGAAAGAGCCAGGGGTTATGTGTTGATAGAAATTAGACAGAGAGGTAAAAAGTAAATATTTATCAGCAGCAGAATTATTATAGTGTTAAATAATCTGGGGATATAAATAAAAGAGGTAAGAAAGGAAAGCTGTTGTAGAAGGAGAAGGTGAATGCAAAAGGACCAGGAAAGAAGAATGAAAGAAACTAGTCATTTGGTGTGGACTTCTGCAAATAAAGTACAAGCCGAGTATGAAAGGAGAATGGCAGAAGAAATTACAGGAGATGGGTAAAATAAAAAACACTTTGAGAGTCATGCAGGAGTGGGAAGGGGAAAATATAAAAGGAAAGGCTTTCCCCACTTCGAGGCATTGGATCAGCACCTTTTGTCTAAAATGTGGAGGCTTAGTCATGTCTGCACTTAGCCTGAGGAAAACTGAGCTATGAAACTCTTTACAAGAAGGAAAACACTGTTTGTTTGTTTTTTGTTTTTTTTAATAATATTTATTGAGATTTCAAAAAAATACAAAAATTACACAAAAACAAAAAATAGAAAATACAAAAACTTACACACAAAAAAGAAAAAGATACAAAAGTAAAAAACAAAAATAAAAATATGAGAAAGTGAAAAATACAGAAGAAAAATAATAATAAAGAAGAAAAAACATTAGACCTCCTCCTCCTCCCTTCCTTTGTATTCTAGTTATTAATTATCCCAGCAAATCCTTTCCATCTTTCTATAATAAAATAAACCTTAAAATTTAAAATTTAGATCTTAACTTTACCAGCTTCTTATATTCATAATGTTCTTTCATAATTCTTTATACATCTTTACTAAAGCCAGGTAATTTCTTCCAACATTTTTCTATCATTCATTTTTCTATCATTCTATCATTCATCAACTTTATAAAACATTCTGTTAGTTAAAAAACGAGAAAAGAGAAAAAAGCATATAAACAAGTCCAATCTTAATCCAAAGTCCCTTCCTCCTGGTTTTGGGATTTGTCAGTCCTTATTCCTCAATCTAACCCGGTGACCTTATGTCCGAGGCCCTCAGGTCACTTCCATGGCCCTTCCGCAGCTTTTCTTCATATTTGTGGCTGTAGTCACTTGCTCGTAGTAACTCCAACTTAATAGTGTTTTTAACCCTTCTCATCAGATCAGATCCTTTTCCCTGTTCATCGCTGCATTCCATGTAGTATTTAAGAACATACTTCAAGGGCCCTCCAAAGTTGTGGGCCCCCACAATTCCAAACATGTCGCAGCCTGTTACTGTATTTAAAAAGTCCAGATATCCCAACATAGGGGGGTCAATCCAGCCCCCCATTTCCAAACCACACCAAACTTTCCCTTCCCATATCTGGTTTTTCCAAGTTCCATTATCAAATCCGAAGGATCAAGCTCCTGTTGAGACTGTTCTGTCAAGCCACACTCCTGATTTAATGCCACAAACCCCTGTTCTGTCAAAACACACTCCTGGTTTGAGTCCTGGATAGACTCCACATATATTCCCACAGTTTGATCAAAGCCTTCCACTGCCTGTTTATGATTTCCAGTCGACTTGGCCATCTGGTTCACCTTATCATGTAGTTCTTCCAGTAGAGTATTTGTTTTGTTAAGCAGGCAAACCACAACTTCTGAAAACATTGTTGCACTCTCCCACAATTATTTGTAACAACTGTCAAGTCCTTGGCATTAGTTACAGTCTCTAAGGCTCCCCCTAGGGAGAAGACTTATATTTGTTTCTGTTACATTTCCATGTTACTTGAGATACTTTGTCCATATATATTCCTTTAAAATGCGAAAGGGAACAGTAGAGTCACAAAAATTCTCTTCTTTTAACTATCTGTCTCACACAGATATCTTGATTGATTCACGTCAGTCCTGACTTCCCCGCTCCAGGATCAGGACGAAAATAACTTCCTTTTACTGCTTCAAATAGTCCAAAAAATATTCCCAATTTGAAATGTTGGAATCCACTCTTTTAAAAGCAATTTTCAAAGCTCTAGTATAAATTGCCTTTGCTTTGTTGTATTTACAAAAGAACGGAAGGGTGACTTCCTGTTTAGCCCTTCCCGCTCCATACCAAATTCAATCGATTTTTTTTTTTTTTTTTTTATAGTCCAATTCTGTCCTTTCCACTAATCTTCATTTACTGTCCCAATTTGTTCAAATTCTGGGTACTCACGGATATTTGTTTTAAAGTCCGAATTGTCCAGGAAAAAAGGCAGCGCTCTCCGGCAACAGCTACGCGGCTTCACTCCACAAAAGAAGCAGACGACTCGCAGCACAGCGCCACTTCCCGCTCTGTTCCGGAGCCCGTTGCCGGGTTCCTTTGCAGATTGGGGGGGCGTAAACAGTGCCCGCCGAGTCCCAGGGTCACAGGCTTCACCCGCCTGTGGTTTAAAGGGTCCCCGCTGCGCCGAAGCGGTATTAGACCCAATTTCTGTGGAGCGGTCTCCCTCCGAATTAGAGGGATTCCGCCATTGCCGTTGGCGCCACCTCCGGAAGTAAGAAGGAAAACACTGTTAGTGATGCCAGTAATTTCCAGTTGATTATGCCTCCATATATCACCATTTTGTGACTGGCAGGCCTCAGCATTTCCCACCTATCACAAGTGGGACTTGGGGGTAGTAGGTCTGTGAATTCCTGGTGTAGACTGTACTGAGACCAGTGGTTCAACACCGTGCAAGATAACTTCATGTGTTGCTGTGAACCTCAAGCGTTTTGCTTGCCACTGCCAAAGAACCCAAACTGCAGGGTTTGTTCTACCATTTGTGAGACCCACTGGGGTAAATTCACAATTTCAACATGCATAAAATATAGGAACCCAGGGGATAGTCTGATGTGTTCCCTTCCCCACATAGCAATCGTTTTCTCCCTCCTTCTCTTTTTTTAATGTCTTGTTGCCACATTGCTCTTTTTGATGTACAATATCAATTCTGCTCAATTTAATCAATGTGACAGCTTAATAGTTAGCTGTCACCCATCAGGCAGATGTGGTATAACTTATGTGGGGCACACTAATAATGAAAGAGGAAAGAGTTCGGAGAGCTGGTGTAGTGCAGTGGCAAAGCGACCAACCTACAAATAAGAAAGCTGCTGGTTTGAATCTGGCCTCTACCATGAACTCACTTAGGCCAGTGTTCTTAAGCTTGGTGTTCCTGACCATTGGCTCAGATGGTTGGGTCTGATGGGAGTTGTAGTCCGACAGCAACTGGGGATTCAAGGTTAAAGGGCACTGCTTCAGGTAAGCCATTCTCTGTTAGCTTCAGTCTCCCCATCTGCACTATGTAGGTTAACAATATTTACTTAGTATTTATGTATAAAGATACTTGTACATCACAATTTTGAAAAAACAAACATAAAAAACATAAAAGTAGTTTACAACAATTAAAACCACATGAAGTTTTAAAATCATAGATCACCAGCTAACTATTATGGGATTATTATTATTATTAATTGACTGTGTAAGGCAGGCAACATAGAGCAATTTTCAGCAATTTTTCAAGAAGACATGTGCTGAAAATCTATTGGAGTGGACCAATTACACTAGAGACCTGATTTCCTATCAATGTCAGATGAGCCTCACCAACTCAGGAGACAACTAGTGATGCTCCTATAGATTATCTTGGTGGTCGAGCTGGAATTTAAGTGTTTGGATAGTCCCTAAGGCACTCTGGACCTCCGTTTTTCATGGCTTTATAAATTAGCACAAGGGCCTTGAAGCTGGCTCATCAGTAAGTGGACAGTCAGTACCGATGCTTTGCACAATGGTATCACAGGTTGTTGACCAGATACCCCCACCAGCAGCCTGTCTGGT